AAAAAAAAAAAAAAAAACACAGAAGATGCCAAAAAAAATGTATACACATTTTAAGAAAGAAAAAATTGTATTAAAATTGTTAACACTTAAGTCACATTTAACTTCTGCAATTACAAGGGATGAGCAAACATGACTTGTATTCAACTTCCATTATTGGTGTATATTGAGTATACAAATTTTAATACAGTTTTTTCCTTTCTTAAAGTGAGTATACTTTTTTTGGCACCCTCTGTATAGCTAGAAAGACTGTGAGACGCGTTGAAAACTAAAATCCAACTCTGTCCTTATGAGAGAAACATTCAAAACATAAAGAAACAAGATAAAAACTGAAATACTGGGAAATGATACAAGACGCTAACATTAACCCAAGACAGGTGGTGTTTGCTATGTCTTTATCAGGTTAGATTTCCAAAAAGGCCTTGACACCCACAGAGCACTGATATGCCAGAGAGGACAGTTTTAATTTGCATGCACCTAAAAATAGAGGGCTCGGCACCTGTGGCTCAAGCGGCTAATGCGTAAGCCACATACACCTGAGCTGGCAGGTTCAAATCCAGCCCGGGCCCACCAAACAACAATGATGGCTGCAACCAAAAAAAATAGCCGGGTATTGTGGTGGGTGCCTGTAGTCCCAGCTACTTGGTAGGCGGAGGCAGAAGAATCGCTCAAGCCCAAAAGTTGGGAGTTGCTGTGAGCTGTGATACCACAACACTCTACCTGGGCGACAGCTTGAGGGTCTCAAAAAAATAAATAAACAAATAAAAATAAAAAAGTAAATACTGATAGCCCCACAATGACTAATATTCCCACAATTACAGGGGGAGATTTAAAAACTTACATAACAATAATTGTAAGAATGTAGGCAGCTGGAGCATCCTGATTTAAATAAATCTCACCTAAATGAGACACACAGCCCTCATGGACATTCCTTCAAGTACACAGAGAACATTTTCAAAACTCAAACAAATGCTCAGCCATGTATCAGGTCTCAATAAATTCCAAAAATTCTGTAACTGTAATTGCCCTGAAATCAGTATTTTGAAAACTAAACAATCTCTAAATGTTTAAAAGTTAACCAATGTACTTTTTAAAAAACACATGGGCCAAAGGAATTAGAAAACATATTGAACTAAATAATACAAATATGAAATATCAAAATATAGGGCATGAAAGAAAAAATGCACAGGATGAAATAAGAGTTTGCTCTCAGGAAATACATATAATACCAGATCAGTGGTTCTCAACCTCCCTAATGCCTCCTAATGCCACGACCCTTTAATACAGTTCCTCATGTTGTGGTGAGCCCAACCATCTGTTACCTCATAACTATAATTGTGCTGTATGAATTGTAATGTAAATTACCTTATATGCAGGATGTATTTTCATTGTTCACGATCCGCAGGTTGAGAACCACTGCACTAGATGCTTACAGAGAAGCAGAAAGGTTGGCCAGGTGTGGTGGCTCTTATGTGCTGCCCTAACACTTTGGGAGGCAGAGCGAGAGAGAATCACTTGAGCTCAGGAGTTTGAGATCAGTCTGAGCAAAACAATGAGACTCCATCTCTACAATAGATGGGAAATAGAAAAATTACCCAGGCATGGTGATGCATGCCTGAAGTCCCAGCTACTCAGGTGGCTGGGACATGACTATTCTAGTCCAGGAGTTTGAGGTTGAGCTATGATGATGCCACTATACTAGGACTTAGGGCAACAGAGTGAGACAGGGAAGGGAAGGGGAAGGAAAGGGAAGGGAAAGGGAAAGGGGACGGGGAAGGGAAAAGGAAAGGGAAGGGAA